CAGTTTTAAAAGTAGTGAATAGTATTATGCTAATGCTTTGTTAATAGAGAAAATTGAACCTGTTTTTAGCTCTTGCTCATCAGGTGTCCGTCAATGTGAATATTTTCGCCTTTGCTCTTTTTCTAGATGATTCGTATGACTTTTTAAAGTATTGTCGAATGTATTGAATTATTAAATTCAAATGAACTCTACGATGTGGAACTGTGTGAAACTTTTTGTCATACCATATGCAGAGGATACAGTTATGGAATCAGATAAAAAATCAAAAATGCTTTAAAAATCTATGCGAATTATTGTCATAAATGGAAGCTCAAACTTAAGAAAACGAAAGCCAAAATTTTGCTTTTTTCTATAAGTAGAAAGACGTGTATAAATTATACATTCATGTTCAATGGGCATCAATTAGAAAAAGTTTGTGCATATAGTTTGTGAATATAAATATCTAGGCCTTCAATTTAGAATATAATGCTAAAACAAATGGTCCTAAACAAAGCATGCTCTTCCTCAATTATCTTATAATTAAAACCCGTAGGTCAATTAGGCGGATAGCTTGTCCGGTCATATATAGTAATTATAATAACATATTAATAATAATAATTAATATATATATACACTCTTATTTGAGTCTAATCCATACACAATACAACATAAAACAATTCATATGACATAATTTTACAAAGTAAAAGTTATTTATGTACGGTCATTCTTATCAGAATTACAAGATGCTACCAAAATAATATAATGAAAGGGATGCAACTCTGCAAGAATGTTCAATATGCCTCAATAGTTCCTCTCCTCATTTCATATTCATATGCATATTACAACTTATAAATTCTAGAATAAGGAACTATTGCTAATCTTGTTCTAAAATACTTAAAGAGTTTTTGGTATATTTGCTTTACTGTAAAACCCTTGAAATGTTCTCTTCTTTAAACCCGAAACATTAACACTGAATAGCAATGGATTCTTAAACTATAAAATCACTATGTGGATAAAATCATTTTTGCATCATGGAAAAAAAAACCTTTATGTATTGGTAAGAGTGCATATTGGGTGTTCTTCGTAAATAAGAAAGCTAGAAAAGCGCGGAGCTTGCGAAGCGACTTTAGCTTTCTTATTTACGAAGAACATCCAATATGCACTCTAACCGGGCTTAGTGCTCCGCCCACTTGCGTTTTATAATATAAAACCTCCAGTTTATATAAAATCTATTCTATGTATAGGTTAGAGTGCATTATTGGGTGTTCTTCGTAAATAAGAAAGCTAAAAAGGAGCGGAGCTTGCGAAGCGACTGATAGCTTTCTTATTTCACGAAGAACATCCAAATATGCACTCTAACCGGCTTAGTGCTTCCGCCCACTTGCGTTTCTATAATATAAAACGTCCAGTTATATAAAATCTGTTCTATTAAGATTTGAAACATGAAAAATTTAAAAAATCCTCGTTCGGTGATTGGCTTAAAAAAATTGGCGAGCACTAATAAGATTTGTAACCTGAAAATTTGAAAAAAAATACCTCGTCGGTGATTGGCTTAAAAAATTTGCGAGCACTAAGAATAACAAAAATATATACAAATTTAAGTGACTGTCCCTATTAAGTAAGTTCATTGTTACCTGTCACAAATATTTGTTACCTGTCACAAAGCGGGGAATTGGGTTTAATTAATTCACTTCAAATATAAAGATTTCAAGATTTTATTTCTAAAGACATACTGATAAACATTTTACAATGTCCGTAGCCGATAAAACAGAATGACGGTTACAAATAGTTTTTGAGAAAAGTATGCAAACTGTTTACAAATCATTTTTACATTAACATTTTAAATTAAAGAACACATCGACATTGTATTTCAACATATGTTGTAAATAATAGTATGCTATATATACCAGTATCATATTTGAAAACAATACAGTAAAAAATACAGAACGTAGGTGGGTTATCCTATAAATACTCAGGGAGCGGACTACATTTCAGTATCGTTTTAATGTTAGTTTTGGCACTCACTTTAATTTTGGTACGCAGTTATAACTTTTTTCTAAAATGTTTGACTTAGAACTTTTTATTATAAAATAAATGTTGAAAATACTGCTAAATGATATATTTAGTAAAAAAAACAATAATTAAACTGAACGACAATTGAATATACACTGTGTTGACTTATGTATTTGAGTTTATTCAGATAACTCGGTTACAATGCAACAAAAGCCATGTGAAAGCAAAAAATTTTTAACTCCACTTTTGATATGTGAATAGATACAGTATTAAAATTAAGCCTCTTTGTAAAAAATGAAATCATTTCTCAGTATATGTACTTCTATTTATCTGAACAGAGTCTAAATGATCTGTTGAGTTACCTTATTAGTCGGCGAAATGATAAATATTATCGTAAAATCAGTCGTGTATACACTATTTTTATTTGTCTTTGTTGCCATAGATATGAAATATTGTTACATGTTTACATCATAATGTCATGTATGACAAAATGATCTGAAGAAATATAAAGAAATTGGAAAATAGGAAATAGGATAGACATATAGACGGTGTTGGTTGTTTTGGCTCATTTGCCAGAAACGTAACGAAATACGTTTATACAATTCGGAACTGCCTCGGCAATTATCTATAATAACCTCGGAAACAATACGAATTGAAATAAGTTCTACCACGTGGTTTCAGATCAGGATCTTTCATTTGACTTCTAATGTCTGTTCCGGTACTCTTATGCTTGAAAATATGCATGACAACAATCTGTTATTTTAAATATGACCACTAATGCATAATGATGTTGAATAAGGCAGACATACTACATACTACTTTAGAATAAACAATCAGCCTCCATAGTATATTATTCGTTTGGTAATTTGCTAGAAGTATGTTTTGATTTGTTTGCCAAAGAGAAAAAAACGTTTGAAATGAATACACGAGGGACGTCCGGAGAGTTGATATATCCATTTTTTACGATATTTCACTTTTTTTTTTTTACTGTATGAACACGTTTGTACATACATTTTTACATTTTTTTCATGAGCACTTTGACAAAACGTCAATAATTTAACTTCAACTTTTATAATATCTACCTGTCTGGCGTATACATGTACACATTTATCAAAAATTACTGTACCCTTACATGTGAGTGCTTCTCTGTCCTTGACAGTTCGTTTCAAGGCCACTATTTTTACAGAGTTATTGCCCCACAAGATCAGATAATTAGGTATGTACCACTAAATTTTACACATTTATTTGCGATTAATTCGAAAACACAATAACTTTAAAAGGTCAAAGGATTTAATTAGTAATTTGTATACAACCTATATCATTTCATTACAGGCGTTGATTTCAAATTCTGCAACAGACCACTTAATGTTCAAATATTTTGGCGTTTCTTTTTCATTTACCAATTCAAACTTGTTTTAATGAATTAAAACTTTCTTGATACAATTTATCTGCACCAGATGTTGATAATTCTTTATACAAAATGTACATGCCATATCTTTTCACACAGGAGATTGATATAAAAATATAAATCGGGTAGGATCATTTTTTCATCCATATCACATTGCTAGGGCTCACCTAAGGCACATAATTACCTCAAAGTGAGCTTTTGAGAGGATGAGAGGTAGGGTTACATTCGTCAGTTGTCTGTCATTATACACTCTGCTTATGTCCTTTAACTTGTAAGATTTTTGACCAAAATGACAGGAATGACCCTAAGATTGTCAAAAAAGTGTATATGTGTAATATGCTACAAAAAAGTCACAGAGAGCAAAAATAGATCAAATTATAATATTGTATTTAAACATATTATCTCGAAGTAACACAATGTCCAGAAACTTAAGGCACCACCACAAAATGTATATAAATCATTCCCATAGGTTCAAATGACCCTTATCCGGGATCACTTTGTTTAACATATGTAGGAAAATACATTGAGTCTTTTGTGAAACTAAAATATCAATGAGCTTAGAATGTTTTGCTCAAAGATAGTCCATTGCTAGGTGGATCTAGTCAAATGGCTAAACGTTCCTGGGATAACTTATTTTAAATCTGTGGTAGTTTTGAAGATAACAATCTCAATGAGATTTTCAATATATATTTATTCTATTTGAAGTATAAGAAAAAATAACTTGTTATAACACAGAGTACGAAGGGTAAGGCACCTCACTTATTACCAAATAAATATTTTAACAGACAAATGCATTTTCAAACACAAAAATAATAACATAATACAACATATTAAATCAACAATTCGATATTACAATGGAATAATATATCGAATAAATATAATATTAGCATACCAGGCAAGCCACTTCCTTGTTAAAAAATTAATATAAAATGTCAAATTATAAAGAAGTTGCATAACCTATTTCAATATAACCCGAAACTAACAAATAGAAGTCAACTTTAATTATCAAACGAAATGCTGTTTATAACTTAGATAATATTAACAAGGTGATCTCCTCCATGCTTCATGATGTTTACATGGCGCCCGTCACACTCTCGGTTGAAGATTGGTTGGAAAAACTAGTGATAAGGTCGGTTGGTTGATAAAAAGCTGGCGTTTTTAAAACATGATGTAATCTAAGGTCAGCGTTCTCTGAAAACTAGATATTCAATAAAGTAAATAATGAGGTTTTGAAAGCATTGACACATCTTTAGAGTGGTATAATAGAGCCATAGTTAGCGCCACAGCTTGCGTGTGTCTACACATGCATAAAAAAAGTGTTAACACTGACCAAGTTAAGTTACCCCTGAACCAAGCATGTGCTCATGTGCAACTAGCGCGGGTACGAACTATTTGCCCACGTCAGACGAGGCGGGGTCGTTGCTCACGTCAATAGTTCGAGCGTGACAGCAACGACTGATTTTATGACTAACGCACGAATAACCAGCAGCCAATAGCGTCTGCTGGCTGTGTTATTTATACTGCCAAACGGGTACAAAACGCTGGGAATTTATTAGTGATTTCAGTCGTTCTTGTAAGTCTTGATGAAAGCTTTATCATCATGACGCTAAGAACAAAAAATCCGCGTGTCTCAAGGTAAGCGATTCTACTACATGACAAAACCCGTTGACGTTAGTATATCAACACTGTAGTCGTCTTCGTTGCGGCTCTTCTTTCTGAGAGGGCGAATTTCTCAGCAATGTTTAGGTTCAGATATTTACTTGATACTTGGCCATATAGCAAACACAATATAGCATACTTAATAATTCAGGATCATCATTACAGGTAGTTTCTACGATAGCTCAACAATCAAATGAACTTTGCAATTTTACATATGCACTGGACGTCATGGAATGTCGAATACAGCTCAAATGAACGCCTCAGTGATGGTGATGCCATGAAGTTAAAACTTTACTATGGACGTCTCTAGTTTGACTTTTTATTTAGTTCACTTATCGTTTTTTTTTGTGCGTTTTCCTTTTAAAGGACCGTTTCTATGCGTAAGATCAAAAAAAAAGTTAACAGCCTCGCGAGGTTAAGGCGTTCAGAGTGCAAAGGCAAACGAGGAGACTAGAGTTCTTTTAGATACTAAGCAGAATATTTTTTCTAAACCAGTTTGTCTACCAAGTTTGTTCAAATTGAAGCCCTGGGGTCAAAATTGGCCCCTCCCAGTCATTGTTTTTCCCTATATGTTTATAGTAAAAACTTGAAAAATCTTCTTATAAAAAACTCAAAGAGCTAGAGCTTAGATATTTATCATGAAACATCATCTAATGGGTATCTACCAAGTATGTTCAAATAAAAGCTCCTGGTTTGAAATTGGTCTTGGCCCAGGAGCCTATATACAGGTGAGCAATTTAACTATTATATCTTTATAATTAGGAGAGCTGTCCTACTCGCTCTGACATTGGCGTCTGCGTCACACTTTTATTAATAAGTTTTCTATTTTTATACAAACCATATGGTAGCGCTTCGAATAACCGTCATCGCCAACCTTTAAGGTAAACATAGACATAAATCTGTCGACATGGATTTTCAAAACGCCCTTAAAAATTTTAAGTGTTGTTATTCAAACCTCGCACATATCTATTCCTATGCCCTCTTTGAAGTTATTTTTTGAAAACTTGATAGCAAACTGTTAAATCGACTGTGTCCGGCGCAATGAACCAGTCCCTAGTTTTTAAAACGTCCGTGAGCGAATACCCGGATAACTTTAAAAAATGTCTTGTCCGTGTGATTTTTGACTAAAATAAGTGCCCTTTCTCCCGATACTTATAATTTCAAGTTTTAGTTTGTTTTTAGTTCACCGTCTGCTATATTCATTAATTAAAGTCCTACTGAGGTTAGGTATTGCCTTTGAAACTTAGAAGAATACTTCGGTTATGTCATCATGCTAAGAACTTGCCATGAGATACCTTAAGCTGGGTGTGGCCATGAAGTTACTAGTCGTGGCCAGCCGAGAATAGCCTAAGTGCAGTAGTGTGCCCACGTAGGGTCAAAACTTGTTTTATTTATAAGTCTCTGGGTGCCACGAAGCGGTCACCGCCAGAAGTCCGTGGCCACAAAGATACCTTTGTTGTTGGCCCATTCACACGGCGAGTTAGATACCAGCGGTGGTCAGCTGGCGTTCTGCAACGTTTCTATGCCGGGCTGCAATATCCATGCTTTTATACCATTGCGCGGACAACCAAAGTGGTCACAAGATAAATAACCAATCAGATTACCTCATTTATATGAATTTCCCTAATTAACTAGACATGTGCTATAGTACAAGGATGTCCCTACTTCACCAGCCTGTGAAAGTGCCATTAATACAACTTATTGACTGGTCAATAATTTTACATTTAGTGTCACTGTGACCCTGATTTTTGACCCAATGACCTCAAAATTATTAGATGTCACCTACTGATCAGGTGTAATGATCTTTCTGGGTTATATTAACCATGGCTTATCCCTTCTAAAATATTGAATAGATAAGGATTTTACCTTATATGCTCTCAAATGTCCATGGGCAATGTCCCTATTAAATAAAATAAACCAGGACTTATTCCTTCTCATGTTATCGTATAAACAAGGTTAACAGGCCGTAGTATGTACAAACTGACCAAAACACAAAATTGTCCCAACAAAGGGCAATAGTCAAAATTAATGTCTAATGGCCTTGGAATGTGACTTCTAATATGATCGATCCTTAAGACAAGTTCAAAGTGAATATCTACAGTATTTTCAGAGATTAATGTTGCATGTAAAAGTAATTTGTTAAGTTTAAAAAATTCATAATATATATAATATATAGTGCATTTTGATTGGTTAATTATCTTGTGGCCACGACTTAGTAACTCGTGTCCACGAGATAAATAAAAACACACACATGTCACCTTTGTGCCACCTTATCATCCCCACTTTCAGGTCATTGATTTTTGTCAAAATTATAACTCACTTATTTCCTAAACATTTAAGGCATCCCTTTGAAACTTTAAACGCATATTACTGACAATCATACCCACTTCCATACAAGAGGATGGAACTGTGTCATTGATTTTAACAAAACTATGCCCCCTTTTCAAGTTGAATTTGGTTAGGTTTTTCATACCACATGTGGCAACCCGCTTATTTCCTATACCCTTTCAGGTATTGCTTTGAAACTTTAAATACATCCCCTCTTTCCAGGCAAGTTCTTATAATTGTGAAGTACTCTTAAATATAGCTCCCATCATTTTGGCAGGATAATGGTCCTTTGATTTCACATTATTAATTTTGGCTGAAAACTTGGTTTTGTCACTTTTTGTCCTTCCTTACATAGCTCAATCTATATAATGAACTGGCTTCTCCATTACTTTGACACAGACAACCAGTAATTTAAAGCATGTCAGTGATGAAATTGTAGATTTGAAAAGCAGACAGTATGTTATAGATCTATAGATTATAAAGATGTGCAGTCTGATCCAACTTTCGATTGCTGACCTATCGTATTGTAATTATGGCATGCAGATGAAAGGTTTATATACCGGTTACTATATCAACAGGTTGAGAGTTTGGAGATTTTGATGTGACAAATTAAAAGATATATTTTTCAAGTTGTCAGTTGTATACTTTATCTTTTGAATGTTACTATATGTGAAAAAGTAACAATATAGTTGCCTGTTACTATGTCTGACTGACACACTGTCCATTTCTAATAATGCCTTAATAAATATACCAATAATTATATGATTCTTGTTAATCTATTGTAATGTGTTTATAATATTTACAGAGTACACAAAGGTGAGAAGCCATTTAAATGTCGTGTATGTGAGAAGAGTTTTACATCAACTGCTTTACGTAACCAGCATATGGTGGTCCATTGGGGACATAAGACGTATATCTGTGACGTATGTGGTAAAGGATTTATGAGTCGTAAACATTTTAAAGATCATATGAGAATACATGACGGAGAGCAACCTCACAAATGTGAAACCTGCGGCAAAGATTTCATCTACTACAGGTATATATACTATCGCACTATCTGTGGTCCATCTGTCAATCTGGACAAAACCGTTTAACATTTTTAGGGAAATTTACAAAATAACTACTGATTGAATAATGAATAGGGCAATCCATGATCAGACAACATGCATGTCAGAATACCTTGGTCTGCTTGCACTGGTCAAATGGGTAGAATAAGTTACTGTCAATAGGTTATAGCTTAAGTTAGAAAATATTTTATATTGTGACTTTATATTTTATACAATTTGTACATAAAGTTTCTTTGTCAGTGTGTCAGAATGTGTAAAACGTAAAATACATGATAACTTAAAACTCCAGGGTATTGCGAGTTGTCTTTAGAAATGCCTAAATAATTTTGTTTTTGTCATAGCTCACATCATATTTGTTTAATACAACAAGCATTAGATGTACAGAATGAAGATTTCAAATGTTCAGTTTTTGGGCAAAATATATTTTCTGTAAGGTTTAAAGATATTATCTCTTAAACCATTTGTTGTTTATCCCTGACTTCATTAAAAGGTGTGAGGATATTTGCTGTTACTTGGGTCAAAAGCAGATTTGATAACTTGTAAGAAAACTGCTTGCTGATATACCAGGGCTCGAATTTAACACTCGCAAACTCGCAAAATGCTAGTTGAAAAATGATTTTGCGAGTTAGATTTATGACTACTCGCATTTTTTTGCGAGTTGAAGAAAAAACGGAATACGCTCGTCAGAAAAATCCGAAATATAAATGGGGCGTAATATTCGCAGGTAGCCGAGTTATAAACTATGCGCGCGCAAACAGGACGTTTCGGCCCAAACCAAATCGGCCCCAGTCGAAAAATCGGCCCCTGGACGTTTCGGCCCTTTTCCGCGAGACGTTTCGGCCCCACTATAGTGTATTGCTTGATTGATTAACAACAATTAATTTAATTACAATTAAACAATTATGACACTTTAATTCTTTGAATAATTATTTATTATCTTATGATCTCTTGAACCATTTAGATATACGTTAATGTTTTTAAAGGTGTTACAAACAATAAAGGCCGGTTACTTACCTATAAAACAAACCACTAAAACTTCTTGATTAAGAAAGTTACTTACAATTTTTCCTTAGAAAACATTATCTTTTGATCTTAATTAAACTATACGTAATTTCTTCAAAGTGTAACTAATTAACTGTTTATACTTTATGCTTATTGGCAGTATTGTTTTGTGTCTTGCTTCTTAATCATTCAAATACAATATCATCTATATATGGTTTATAATTTTTTTGTGTGTGTGTATTATATTTTTACAAATAAAGTTTATGTTCTGTTCTGTTTGTATTGATTACTTTCCCCCTACTACTATAATAATCTAGTTTTTATACTAAATGATTAAATATATATATTAATTGATTAATTTTTTTATTGAAATGCTATTAATATATCGGTTTAGAATACATTACTTATTCTGGGGCCGATTTGGTAAAGGGCCGAAACGTCCGGGGCCGAAACGTCTTGGGTAGTTTTGGGCCGATACGTCTTGGGGCCGAAACGTCTCGAAATCATGCGCGCACCTGCTGTCTGGTTTACATTTTCTATACCTTAACCTCGCTTAAAAAAGTACACAAATTTAAACCAGTCCAAATGTCATTTTGTCCGTGTAAATCAAGCGTGATCGGAATAAAATGTCTAAACGAAAAATAACAAACTTCTTCCCACTTACAATACTCTGAGTACAGAAGATGATTCACAGTATATCAAAAGAAAGGCATTCAGACCTTCAGTTAAAACGGTTAAAAAATGGGAGAAAGAATTGCACGTCAGTCTTTCGTACGAACTCGATGACGATGGAAATGTTGCCGAAATATTTTGCGCCGATTGTTGTGCGCATAATCAAGACCAGACATCGTCGGTATGGCGACAATATTGCATTATTATTTTTTTACATGTAGATTGACATTTGATAAGAATCCCTGTCCCCTAAATCAAGTTTTTGAGTAGAAAGTTACGTTGCTGATTCGTACCCCGGGCAGTTCGAACTCGTCCAAATAAATTACAATTTTAATTTTGTTAATGTAGTTAATAAAAATTTTTTTCAATAAAATTCATTATTATGATACATAATTGTAACAACAATGAATTAATTATTATGTTACATGATAATTTAAACAATTAATGAATGTACACAAAAGTTTAAACAATTTTGGAATTGAAAAATCATTGTCGTAAAAAGTGCAAGTTGAATTCAGTTTTTGCTAGTTAAAAATTTGTCCACTAGCAAAAAATTGCTAGTGGCCAAAAAAGTTAAATTCGAGCCCTGTATACTTAACCTACAGACAGCAAATCCCAAATATAATATAATATAATTTATATTTCTTAATAAATTATATTGTAACAGAAAAAAATTTGATTTTTTCTGTAGGAGTTTAGTTCGACATATGCTTGTGCACATAGACCCTAGAGAAAGACCAAAACCATATAAATGTGAATATTGTAACAAGGAGTATACAGAAGTGACTGGCTTTAAACATCATATGAGAGCTGTTCATACAGGTATTGTACTTTACAAATTTCCATTGGTTTTATTTTGTTGATACTGTAGTAAAGGCCTCTGTGGCTTAATAGGTATGGTCACTGACTGTTAATCTAAATAGTGTTAAGAATGTTTTTAGTTGCATCTCAGTATACGGTATAAGTCCTTCAAAGGCTGTATATTGTACTAAATGTACAACGTTTTTCAGTTTTTTATGAATGAAAAGAAAGTAAATTAGATATAATGTTTTCTAAAATGCCTATGAAGTTATGTAAATTTATTTTTATATAAAGTTCTTCCACTTTTAGCTATTTTAGCACATTTTTTATTGGGTTTTACAGTTGATTGTAGGATCCAAAGTGATATTTGTTTATTTCTTAATATTTCTCAGGTGAAACACCATTCCAGTGTGACATATGTGGTGAGTCATTTCATCGTAATGATAAATTGAAACGTCACATTAAGTCTCGTCATCACGTTGCCAAGGGCAACAAGGAGTTAATAGTGACAACAAGACGTGCATCACATGGATTTCCAGTCATTGTGAAAGCTGAGAATGAACATCAGGAAGATTTATTAGAGATTGTTGAGGGAAATGAAGTGGAGGGAGGACAAAATGAGCTACATGTAGACGTAATACAACAAGAAAATGATGGGCAACAACAAGTATACCTTATAGGTAAACAATATGTTATGTTTCTTGTAGTTTAAAAGGTAGAGTGTTAGGTAAATTAGGTCTTCTGTTGCTGGGTAAATTAGTATCTTTGTATCATGAAGTATATCAACATATGTATGAGGCACTCAGTGTCACAGTGGTCATATTTGTTCCTAGTCATATTTCCTCAATGTATGTAGAAGTCATTCTCTAGATATGTCTTATGTTGTTGAACATCTTTTGTTACAAGTAATAATAAAATCCTTCAATGGATGTAAAAGATAAGCTCCTGACAAAATGTTCACCACAATAAGACTTGAATGTTGGAGTATTATCCATATCCTTTATTATGCTCCCCAAATATTTTGGGGGAGCATATAGTCGTCGGGTTGCCCGTCAGTCCATCCGTATGTACGTCCCGAATTCGTGTCCGGCCCATAACTTTGTTATTTGAAGTCGGATTTTAAAACTATTTCACAGAAATGGTCACCATTTTGAGACGACATGTCGCGCGCGACATTTGGGTCGCTCCCTTGAAGGTCAAGGTCACAGCATGACCTTGAAGCAAAATCATGTCCGGCCCATAACTTCGTTATTTGAAGTCGGATTTCACAACTATTTCACAGAAATGATCACCATATTAAGACGACATGTCGCGCGCAACATTTGGGTTGCTACCTTGCAGGTCAAGGTCACAGCATGACCTTGAAGCAAAATCGTGTCCGGGCCATAACTTCGTTTTTTGAAGTCGGATTTTACAACTATTTCACAGAAATGATTACCATATTAAGACGACATGTAGCGCGCAACATTTGGGTCGCCACCTTGAAGGTCAAGGTCACAGCATGACCTTGCAGCGAAATCATGTCCGGCCCATAACTTTGTTATTTGAAGATGGATTTTACAACTTTTTCACAGAAATGATCACCATATTGAGATGATGTGTCGCGCGCAACATTTGGGTCGCTACGTTGAAGGGCAATGTCACAGCATGACCTTGCAGCAAAATCATGTCCAGCCCATAACTTTGTTATTTGAAGTCTGATTTTACAACTATTTCACAGAAATGATCACCATATCGAGAGGATGTGTCCAGCATTTGGGTCGGATTTTATGATGGAAATGATCACCATATTGAGACAACGTGTCGCCTGCAAGCCGGTTGTTAGATCTCATTGAGTAGAAGTGCAGTGCAACTCTGCCTTGCTTAAGTTTGAAATTATCACATTTTGAACTGGGATATAACTCTCAAAACTATGAAAGATATACTTTTCTGTGTCCAAAACCTAGTTGGGGAGCATTACCCGCTTCAACCGGCTCTTCGTGGTCGAGGGGTTTGAGTCAATGTCTTTTAATCCAGTTACCTCTCTGGCGTGGGTTCGATCCCTGGGAGATGCGTTGGTAGTTTAGCACAGAGGAAGGTAGTCTAGTACTGTTGTAACTCTCCAGGAATGATGGTTAGGAAACTACCCGCCTATATGACTGAAATACTGTTGGGAAAGGGCATAAAATGAAACAAACAAACAAACAAAATATGTGTAAGGTCAAGGCTACTGATAACTGGGGACAACTGTTTGAAATGTTATTTACGTCACATTAAAGATGAACACATTATAGTAACTAAATCTTTATGTGTTTTGTAGGCTTAGGACAAGGAGGGGAGGCAGCTTATTTACAGGAAACACAAGTGATTGAAGGTCCTGATGGCACAAGATATATTATAGCAGGATCAGGCGAGGAACTACAAGTTATTGAGTCTTCTAACCTACAAGTTACTGAGGTAAAAGTATTTCTTTTTCATACACAATATTTTAAGATAATTCTACATTTGTCAGTTACTATAAACAATTAAGATCTAATGAGCAAAGATTAGTTTTAACCCTAAAACCAAGACTTGATTTATGCAGAAAATCTCTATCATATTCAGGCTCAAGAGTTTGGAACTCTCTCCCAATAAATGTAAGAAATTCCCCCATTTTACTGACAGTCAAAAATAATAATCTGAAATGGAGCTTCTCAGGTGGGAAACACAGTTCAGTTAAAAGGTCACACATGGCCAATAAAGTAAATTTTATATTCTAAATGTTCACATTCATATTTTCTTATAACAGTCTTTTCAGTAACATGTTTTTGTATGCTGTATAACAATTTGTAAATCTTTTGTTGTTTAAGAAAAAACACTTTTTGTTACTGAACATATTTGATATAGGCTCATAGGAAAGACTGGGCTTGACTAAATGTAATGTGTCTTTAAATAAAGTCAATATTTTTCTACTACTACCACTATTATCATCATTATTATTATCATTATTGTTATTATTATAATTATTTTTATATCATTATCATTATTATTATAATATCTACTAAAGTTATAGTATGTTATATGAAATGGTTAAGAAAAGGTCACACTTGGTGATTAAAGGTCAACATTTTGTCTTAACAGAGTATATTTTATGTTCGGTCCATAATTTTTTCATCGTCCAAGGGATTTTAAAATGCTAGGTGTTCACAATAAAAAGACGGCATGTTATAGATAATGCACAACACATGGATCCCAACCTCCAAGGTCAAGGTCACACTTTGGGGTCAAACCTAAACACGGTCTGTTATAGAGTATATTTTGTGTCCAGTTCATAACTTGTTCATCAGTCAAGGGATTTTGTAAAAACTTGGCACAAATAAATGATCACAAGAATAAGATGATGTGTCATGCCCAAATCCGGTCAAGGTCACACTTTGAAGTCAAAGTCTAACAGGGTATGATGCCAAGTAAGGCTCAAGCAAACAAAATACAAAATGTTATTGGTGAATTGATACCATGATCGATAAAAAAGTTACAGACAAGAAATGTACTCTGTTTACCATGCAAACAACATTTACTTAAAATTATATTTTTCTTTGTAGCATGCTCAGTAGGGTGAGACTGACGTAACAAACAACATTTTATTTTCTTTGTAGCATGTTCAGGAGGGTGATATTGTAGAGGGAGGAGTTATACAGCAGATACAACAAGTGGAACATATTAAGGATTCTAATAGTGGAAATATTTTGGTCATGAATGATGGTGAAGAACAGACATTAAGTACATTGGCAAACATGGCGAGTGAAGCTTCAGTGGTTAAATTAGATTAGAATTCTATCATCATGGTTATTTTTTGACAAGTTTTAACTGGTTAATTGTTAGAAAAACATGTTGATATTTTTTATTGAATGTTAAATCTTGTATCATTTACTTTAAAAGAAGAGAACAAACATAAAGAGATTGCCTACACATCCATTGGAACGTACATAGAGGAAATTCATGTTTTTGTATCACCTTGAAAAAGTCGACATATAGGGTTACTTTTGTTGGTGGCAGTGTCGCGGCATCCCCATAGTCTTACATGCTTCGTTCAATGACCTGAAGAGCAGTGCATAAAAATCGGTACTTTGCACTTCTTATTTTTTGAGTTATTGCCCTTTGATAATTTTCATACTTTATAATTGTCCGGGACATTTCAAATTCTCCTTAAGTATAAATAGCTATGGACATGAAACTTCATAGGATAATAGATTTCATTTAGACGAAGTGCAGTGCTTTAAAGCCAGTGATTTTCGAGTTATTGCCATTTGTTGATTTTCATACTTTATTTTTGTCAAGGCCAATTCTCCTACACTTAAAAAGCTATTGACTTCAACTTCATAGGATGATGGATTTCATTGAGAAGAAAGCAGTGCACAAGAACTTATACTCTGCACTTAATGATGTTTGAGTTATTGCCCATTCATTTTCTTACTTAATACGCTTGGCTATAGCATAACTTAGTCACTATAAGTTTGACTCCAAATTTGGTATGTAAGCTTTTTTCATTGACCTGAAGTGCAGTGCTAAAAAGTCCATCAGAGTCCTCCATGTAATTTGACAGTGTAAAACTTTTCCATGTTTTTTTTATTTTTGATAAAACAGTTTTAATAATCCTGATGTAACATCCTTACAATCAGTTCAAATGCCACTAATGTTAAATGTTATAAATAACCTCTATTTAAGAAGAAAATACCTAACTGACAGCTATACTGTTGACAAGGCAACACATCCAACTCGCAGAGTTCTAGTTTCTATGAAAATATGATTTATTTTCATCAAGAGATATGAAAATAAAATTAATATTTTATAAGTGATGTTGTGTACTGCCTGAATTTAGATGGAAGACTCATTTTATTTCATCAATATTTAATTTAAAAGTATTATAATAAAACCCGTTATCCTTACATAATCAATCATTTGTGAAAAAATAAAAGCCTATTGTTATGTAAATTGACAATGTAAATGTTAAAATCATACTATGTTTGTTGATTATAATTCATAACAGTATAACATATGGTGTATTAATTTCAAATGTATATTTGATTTTGTAATTACATAAATTTATACTGATTAAATTCTTTGGGTACATGCCTATATATATATTTTTGTGCTAAGATCAAATAAATCAAATGAATGTTAGACTGATAGTCATCTCATAGCTTTGTGTTTTTTTAACTGACAAATTAATTTGTTTATCCTTACTATTGAATGAAAATAAAAAATGATAAAATTAAGTTTTAATTTCTTATTTTTTTAGTATCAAAACACCCACTTCTAAAAATTGGGTAAATGTACATTTCGTTAATAGACATGTGTGTTTCTGCTCAATAACCAAGACCCAGTTATTCATGTTTTTTATAAAATTATTGCCTTTATTAATTTATACAGAAGTATAATTGTTTGATTGTTTATGAGTCTATAAACTTATAGACAAACTCTTTTACTTGTTTTTGGATTCACCAGTACTAAAGGTAAGCAATGTTTACGCCCAAGGGGGAAAGGACACATATTTTCATAGGTGCCGGTGCTTATAGAAGAAGGTTATTTTCATATATATTTATTTCAGCCTCATGTATATACAAATAATTATGTATAAATTAGCATTTCGTAATACAATATACAGAATATATTGCAGATTAAAAAGAGACGTGTCGGCTATAAAAACAATTCACCTAAAAAGCTACAATGAAAATATGTCTGCTATATAATTAGAAAAGTTATAATGCATATCTATTGTTTTAAAAAGATGACATGTTGCAAGTACCTTGGCATATTTTTAGCTCACCTGTCACAAAGTGACAGGGTGAGCTTTTGTGATCGCTTTTCGTCCGGCGTCCGTCCGTAAACTTTTACTTTAAATGACATCTCCTCATAAACCACTAGGCCAATTTCATCCAAACTTCACAGGAATATTCCTTTGGTGGTCACCTTTAAAAATTGTTCAAAAAATTTACTTCCATGCAGAACTCTGGTTGCCATGGCAACGGAAAGAAAAACTTTAAATATCTTCTTTCAAAAAAACCTAAGAGCTAGAGCTAAGATATTTGGCATGAGACATCTTCTAGTGAGTGTCTACCAAGTTTGTTCAAATAAAAGCCCTGGGGTCAAAATTGGCCCTGCCCCAGGGGGTCATTGATTTTCCCTATATGCATATAGTTAAAACTTAAAAAATCTTCTTTTAAAGAACCCAAAGAGCAAGAGCTAAGATATTTGGCATGAAACATGTTCTAATGAGTGTCTACCAAGTTTGTTCAAATAAAAGCCCTGGGGTCAGAATTGGCCCCGCCCCAGGGGGTCATTGATTTTCCCTATATGCATATAGTAAAAACTTAAAAAATCTTCTTTTAAAGAACTCAAAGAGCTAGAGCTAAGATATTTAGCATCAAACATGTTCTAATAGGTGTCTACCAAGTTTGTTCAAATAAAAGCCCTGGGGTCAAAATTGGCCCCGCCCCGGGGGTCATTAATTTTCCATATATGTGTATAGCAAAAACTTAAAAAATCTTCTTTGAAAAAACCCAAATAGCTAGAGTTTAAATATTAAGCATGAAACATCTTCTAGTGAGTGTCAACAAAGTTTGTTCAAATAAAAGACCTGGGGTCAAAATTGGCCCCACCCCGGGGGTCATTGATTTTCCTTATATGTGTATAGCAAAAACTTAAAATCTTCTTTGAAAAAAACCCAAATAGCTAGAGTTTAGATATTAAGCATCAAGCATCTTCTAGTAAAAGTCTACAAAGTTTGTTCAAATAAAAACCCTGGGGTCAAAACTGGCCCTGCCCAGCTAATAATTATGATAAAAAACAAAAAAAATCCTGCAGAAATGAGTATTGCTAAATTCTTTCTATTTTCTTTGTTTAATGAGAGATATTCAAAACAACTAATTTGTTCGATGAAGAGGAAGCAACTAATACACAGTTTTTCGTTTTGTCATAGCACATAGCTACTTGATCCTTAACACCACATTTATAATCAACTAATTCGCCCAGACATTTACCATCTCTATCAAACATCATGATGTTGTATGAATAAAAACCAGAAATGAACACGGTCCCATCCTTGGCTACACATACACCATATGAGCTGATAAGCCTTTGATCTCTCAGTTCTCTCTTCACAGTACCATCTCTGTTGAGACAGACAGCACCATCACTATCATCTGTTACAATAACAGTTCCCCCACCGACAGCTATTTGTTGTGGAGTTGATTTAAATATGTGTTGACTATTGACATTTTCACTGATAGACTTTATTAATGTACCAGTCATACTGTATACATTTACACAATTTTCAGCAGATACCCATAACTCTCCAGCATAATATGTCATTCCCTGGTAACCTCCATCTGTAACAGATATATATCTCACCTTAGATAACGAGCTTCCTACTGATATAAACCAAACTTTGTCGTTGTACAGTTTAACAGCGACCTCAGTATTACCAGTACAACAGATACCTGTAGGATATGATTCTAGATTCAAACAATCTTTAATGTTATAATTCACATCAAGCCTCTTTATCCTGTAATTATTATAGTCAGCCAGTATGATTGTACCGTCTACAAGCTGACATATATCATTAATGTAGCATTGTGTACGGTCATTTGTCATCTTGATATTAATCTCCTTCCGTGAACTTACTTTATATATTTTTGATGTCAATAGACTGTTCTTTTCTGTTACTCTCTGTACACGCCCTAGACATGTTGATGTTGTAATAGAAGACTTTAATTCTGTATTCTCTGTAAAACGTAAGCACACACGACCTTTATCCTCGCTTTGTTCAAACACTTTCATTGCATCGTTTACAGTCTGTTGTATCAGTTTTGTCTGAACAAATTGTTCTCTCATATTAAGATTATGGGCTGTCTGTAGCTGGCTACTTGTTTTCTCAATTTCTTGTTTAAGTTTACTTATCTGAGAGATATTTGTTTCCAGATCCTCTTTAACCAAAGAATATTCTGTCTCCAGAGCTTTCAATGCTTCATGCTTCAATTTCTGAATATGTTCTACCAAGTCCCGTTCAATTGCCTCTACCTGTGAAATGACGTCATTTCTTTGCTCCTCAACGCTATTGGTGTTCGTCTGCATCTTCCGTTCAGTTTCCTCTAAACGCGTCTGAATGTTTCCCATATTGAAAGTTATACGCTCAAATTCATTTTGCTGGTTGGAAGAAATAGTAACTTCTTCTAAATCTGATACTCCTCTGCAAGATCTGAAGAAAAATATATTAATGATGAAGCTATGTCTTAGAAATCAAATTTTCTCTACACTGTTTTACACAATAAAAATGTAAGAAAACGATATACGTTTTCATTTGAAAATTCTGTTCTTATCATCAAGTTTAAATGTAAGGGAAAATACACTTAGCATTACAATAACCTTGTTATATTAAATTGATGCCATTTGTACAAATAATGATAACCATAGCTGTCAAAAGAGACAGTCATGCTCGACTAATAAAATACAAAACTATCAAAATAGTTATGATATAAAAATAGTTCTGTATCAGTATCAAATGTTCAATATATTTGCACCACATAATATGTACGTGACCAGGTCAATAAAAGTTAAACAGACATCCTTGAAGCAATAAAGAAGTTTTACGGGAAGGTTATTTGGAAAATATTAACGCTTCAGTTATGAACCTTGTCACATAATCATTATATGGGAGTCGATAATTATGAACCTTAATTTTAAAGTTTAAAGTAAATCCTTTGAAAAAATATTGTAAGAGCAAAAAAACAACAACATATTTTTATAAAAAAAAGTTCCAAGCTCAAGGGGAGAATATTTCTTGATATATTCATGCTACAGTTATAACACTTGTCACATGTGATGTTGGAGACTATTAGTAACAAATATTTGAAATTGAAGTAGATCCCATAAGAAATGAAGAAGTTATAGTAGATTATAACGCTTTTTAACAGAATTTCTAGGTTCAAAAGGGAATAGTTTTAAAAGACTGTGTTCTCGAGTTATGGATCTTGTCATATATCATGCTGCTGATGATAAAGAACATAAATATGAAGTTTGAAGTTAATACCTTAATAAATTTAGAAATTATAGTAAAGATAAAATTACTAAGGAAAATTTCTAACTTCAATGGGAGATAATTCTGAAAATATTTGTGCTAGAGTTAAATACATTGTCACATATGAAGTGGTTGATAATAAGAAACATAATTTACATGAGTGATGATGTTTGAAGTTGACATCTTAATAAATAAATATGTTATAGGACTTTATTTTAGTTCAAGGGGAGATAATTCTGAAAAAAAAAATGTGCTAGAGTTAAATAAATTGTCACATATGAAGTGGTTGATAATAAAAAACAAGTTACATGAATGATGATGTTTGAAGTTGACACCTTAATAAAAAAATATGTTATAGAACATCTTTTAGTTAAAGGGAAGATAATTCTGAAAATATTTGTGCTAGAGTTAAATACATTGTCACATATGAAGTGGTTGATAATAAGAAACAAGTTATATGAATGATGATGTTTGAAGTTGATACCTTAATAAAAAGATCTGTTATAGAACATCTTTTAGTTAAAGGGAAGATAATTCTGAAAATATTGCTTCTAGAGCTATGACATTTGTCTCATCACATGTGGATGATGATAAGGAACACATACATGTATTTGAACTTTGAAGTTGATACCTTAAGAAATAAGAAAAAAAAACAAAGCTTTAATCGGAAATCTGGACACCGACGCCGGGATGAGGATAGCTCTCCATATCCTTCGTATAGTCGAGCTAAAAAAATAGGCTTTAAAGATATACTTCAGATTTCAAAACCATTTTCTTCTTTTTGTTTTTCCTTCCTTTAACAGTTATTTGAGATTGTTGAAGAAATATGTACAACCATTTAAATGCGAATATAATATCTTTCTACTTATTTTCTGTTTCTGATATATCTAAGCAGCTTTACTTTTCTAATTTTATTTAAAATCTTGAAGTATACAATTGTATTTCCTTCATGAAAGTAAACCCTGAAGCCGACTGATTATTGGTTCATTCCCGATTGGTGTTTTGAAAGAGAACCTTGTTTGGCCTCCTATAGTTAGAAAAACTGAGAAAGGCTATTTATAAAGTGTACTCAAAGTCAGCATCCGAGCCATTTTTGATTAAAGTCAAATCACCTCCCTCAGCCATTTTTCATGGTCGCTCTGATTTCTGAATATCAAAGGGAGTAAGAATAATCTGAAATATGTGAATAATGATCAGTACGGGAAAGCAACGTTCACAGCACACAACCCCCAAAATAATCAAAAGTTATGTCACAAAAGGGGGTATACAAAACGGACAGGGACAGACAACTGATTCATATAATGTGATACAGCAGCTCATTGTTTTACCTCGGGATTAAAGTTCCTTTATGGGCTTCTTTTGGATATTTTAGTGTTATGCCTTAAATAATATGCTAATAAAAGATATTTCATGCATTGATAATGGTATATCATTTAAATAATAACTGAATGTTCGTGTTTGTGTGGCTTGTTTTTTTACACAATATACTGTAATTCAACTAATTTGATTCATGATTCATGGAACGGCACTACTGTGTCAAATTGAAGGTTTCATGATAATCGCTGTATGAATACATTGCGGATGTCTCTAAATTCAAAGGGGGCGTGGACGGTAACTTGCACTTTCCAGTACCGTCCATAACAGGCTCAATTAAACCGAGGCTGCAACATTTTCAATTTTGTCGTGGTGGGCTTTCTTTAGGTATTCTGTATTATTCTATTTTATTTGAAACTCAAAGTAAGATGAATTGCCTTCCATGACAACTACGTTATATTATTATTTATAATACTGCATGTTTGAAACGTGGTTTCATTGCATAATCGTGACGTTTATATAGTTTTATATACACGGCTGCTGTCAAATTATAAAAAAGATCCATTTTGTCCCTCAAAAAGAAATTTGCTGTGTTATGAATTCCTTATAAAGATTCCTGTCAGGTTATATGGCCGTATTTTACGGTTGTTTACAAAGTAACATTAGTCTAGCGGCAAGGGTTATATATGCAAACAACCGTTTATGCCATATTATCTGTCAAAAATCTTTATAACTAATAAAATACGCTACATAATACTAGTACCTGCGATTTGGTAGACAGAAAAAAACACTGTGCACGTGTTTAAAATTAAAACAACAACAATAACACATAAATATATAATATAATATTTCAATGCAAGACATTTGGAGCATTTGTTCAAATATACAACTAAATCATGTACAATCGCTCTTACTTATGATACATTCACAATTACGCAGGGTTGTGTGATGGGGCTAAATTGACTGCGTCCCGCACTTAACCCCACGCTTTCAGCGCCCCGGGTCCCTTTTTTCTTCCCCTCCCCCAAGTGATTACAGAAGACAGTTTAATACTAGTCTAACGAACGATAATATTACATAAAAATGTACAATGTATATAAAAATGTTATATTATATTTCACTATCTATACTGTATGATAAAGATTAGAAGTTTTAATAGACCGTAGTGCGCTTAAATTTTTACAAAGTCAACAGAAATATCTATACATGTATTTAATCTGTGTGACGATATGTTTATAGCGTAAATTAAGAGGGATATGTTCTCCATGTCGAAATTTTTTCGAAAGATTATTTTTTAACGGTATGGTAGGTCATAATATAACAGACAGGTGTCAATCTTCAACCTTGAAAATTGATTAATAACTAATTTTAATGTTCAATTAATATTAATTTTACATGTTTTTCTTCAACAATTGCTATGCAGACCGACAAATGGCTTACATCTCCTTGAAATTTTGGTATGTTTGAAGAGAAAGTAGAAAATAGATAAAGATACATATATAGCAAGCATTTTACCGTATTTTAACTGAAATGAAGGAATATTGAAAGTCGGGATTAAGGAAGTGAGCTTCTGTGTGCCACTTCGCATTATATGGAGAAATTTTTATGAAAGTTAAAGAGTAAGAACATTAGACTTTTCAACTAAGAGACAACCCCATCATACACCACCTCTTGTACTCCCGTCAGAGAATCATTCCCGACCAAAACACAAAATCCTTAGCCAACTCATTCATTTAAGTCAACCGCACGAAATAATTTATAGTTCTACTTAAACTTCAGTCATAAAAATATTTTCAAAAATGTGTAACATGTATATAATACATAAGTTTAACACTACTGTACATGTATAAGTTTATCGCTACTATAGTACTGTGATACTGTACTTTTAATTTGATAAAATTGTATATAAATCAGATTTAAAGTATTTACAAAAAACTCCACCGAAGAAACTATTTCATACACGTGAAGGTCAAAGAAGCTTTTTTTAAATTTTAGTAAGTTCACTCCCTTTTTTGTAACGTTATCTTAGTTTGGCGTACTTTCTCTAACGTTATATATTGTCTATTATTTAAAAAAATGCATTTTGAAAAATGAATCAATGTTAAAAGATATAATCAAACATAAACAAACTTACTATTACATTGCTAAATTATCTTTTCTCTAGTTTTGCTTTCGAATTCACGCCCACATAGGTGGCGCACCACCAAATAACTGTCCTTTTATTTGAAAGAAAACCTCTTCAAAACTATCTCAAAATAATTTATCTATCTCAAAATAATGTACATTTGCGATAACAACATGTAAAATAAGATTTGTAAGAGTCGATTATACTATAAAATGTTTTGCTTATATGCAATCTTGCGGTCCTTTATATTTCTATGGTTTATTCTGTGAATCGTAAATTTTATTACAGAATATCATTCGTAACATACATCATTTTAGATCTTTCTTATAGAAGTCGTAAGATATGGTTCCAAATAGATAGAAAGTGTTTTGTTTTCTATTCATGTCCCGCTAAAGTTTTGATCAAGTTAATATCCCATTAAGTCTTGAGATCTAAGCTGAAAGGGATTAAACACTTTCAGTAGTTTAAAAACATGACATTCAAATAAAAATAGTAAATATTCCAGTTTAAAAATAGTTTTAAGTTGTGTTGAAATATTATGTTCTTTTCCTCGGTCACTAAAATTTGTATCATTAACCCTAAAAGCTGTATAAATGTTTGCCTTAATAGTATCAAGACTATATTTAGTTGCATATAGAGTACATTCTATTTCTAATATATTATAGTACTGTATAAGTGGATATTGTTGCGTCACAAAAAGTTTGCGAATGTTAAAATGTGGAATTTTTTCCTTCGAAATATTTGCGAAAATATGATATATTGAATTTTTAATACTGATTTTGTGATATTTTTAATTAAGCAGGTACATGTTAAGAATATGTCGTTATTGTAATCGTTATATTGATTAATTTAACACATTTATTATTTCTATAATTGTATAAAATATACATTGTTAGTTTGATAGAGGACCTGATCACACAATTCTTTGTCATATTATGAAACATTCTTTTGTTATACAAATAACTATGTTATCAACACATATAATATTTTATTAAGATTTGCGTTTTGTTAAGACCAAACTTATACAAACAAGCACTGAAAAATTAATCTCATTACCTGATTAGTCAAATTCATCTATGTAAGAACGAGTTTTTAATTGATTGAAAAAAACTTGCCCAAAAAAGGTTTTCGTGATCAATTACTTGCGAATGATTTCAATTCGCAAAGATCGCAAATATTTCCACGTCGCAAAATTAACAACTTATACAGTAGTTCTTTAAGGTTGCCTATTGTAAAGCATGTACAGTATTATGACTCTGGGCTAAAAAGAGAGTGAAAAAGATATCGTATTTCTTTAAACGTCTTTGAAGTTATGTTAATTTATTTTTAGATAGATTTCTTCCAAGCTTAGCATTTTTATACATATTTTATTTGGTTTTACATCCACAGTTATATTTGTTTATTTTTTTGTCTTTCCAAGGGGAAACAACATTCCAGTGTGACACATGTTGTGAGTAGTTTCATCTGAATAATATACTGAAACGTCACATTAAGTCTCGTCATAACGTTGCCAAGGGCAACAAAGAGTTAATAGTGACAATAAGACGGGCGTCACATAGATTTCCAGTCATTGTGAAAGCTGAGAATGAACATCAGGAAGATTTATTAGAGATTTTGGAGGGAAATGAAGTCGAAGGAGGACAAAATGAGCTACGTGTAGATGTAATACAACAAGAAAATGTTGGGCAACAACAAGTTTACCTTATAGGTAAACAATATGTTATGCTTCTTGTAGTTTAAAGGTAGTGTTAGGTAAGTTAGGTCTTATGTTGCTGGGTTAATTAGTAGCTTTGTATCATGAAGTATATCAACATATGTATGAGGCACACAGCGTCACAGTGGCCATATTTGTTCCCAGTTATATATACTCAATGTATGTAAAAGTCATTCTCTAGATATGTCTTATGTTGTTGAACATCTTTTGTAACAAGAAATAATAAAATCCTTCAATGGATGTAGAAGATAAGCTCCTGACAAAATGTTCACCACAATAAGACTTGAATGTTATAGCATAATCGAGGTCCTTTATATATGTAAGGGACCGCCACCGTGGTCAAGGGGTTAGAGTAGATGACTTCTAATCCAGTTACCTCTCTGGCGTGGGTTCGATCCCTGGGAGATGGGTTGGAAGTTTAGCACAGAGGAAGGTAGTCTAGTACTGTTGTAACTCTCCAGGAACGATGGTTAGGAAACTACCCGCCTATATGACTGAAATACTGTTGGGAAAAGGCGTAAAAAGAAACAAACAAACAAAAATATAGGTAAGGTCAAGGTTACTGATAATTGGGGTCAACTGAAGTGTTATTTACGTCACGTCACAATAAAAATGAACACATTATAATAACTAAATCTTCATGTGTTTTGTAGGCTTAGGACAAGGAGGGGAGGCAGCTTATTTACAGGAAACACAAGTGATTGAAGGTCCTGATGGCACAAGATATATTATAGCAGGATCAGGCGAGGAACTACAAGTTATTGAGTCTTCTAACTTACAAGTTACTGAGGTAAAAGTATTTCTTTTTCATACACATTATTTTAAGATAATACTACATTTGTCAGTTACTATAAACACTTAAGATCTAATGAGCAAAAATTAGTTTCAACCCTAAAACCAAGACTTGATTTATGCAAAAAATCTCTATCATACTCAAGAGTTTGGAACTCTCTCCCAATAAATGTAAGAAATTCCACCAAGTTACAGTCAAAAATAATAATCTGAAATGGAGCTTCTGAGGTGGAAAACACAGTTCAGTTAAAAGGTTACACATGGCCAATAAAGTAAATTTTATATTCTAAATGTTCACATTCATATTTTCTTATAACAGATTTTTCAGTAACTTGTTTTTGTATGCTGTATAACAATTTGTAAATCTTTTGTTGTTTAAGAAAAACAACACTGTTTGTTACTGAACATATTTGATATAGGCTCATAGGGAAGAATGGGCTTGACTTAAGGTGACAACGGAGTCAATTATCACTGAAAATACCTAAAATGAGATGTTTTGCTTAGTAGATTTATCAACCTTTTCTGAACACATTCGTGATTTTATTTTGGAAGCAGTTAGTCCAAAAAATGTGTTTTTAAACGTTTTAAAACGGCATCTGTACCATTTTTATCTGCTATTCGCGTAACCTGTCAATTATCGATAACGCTCCGCCCCCTGTTGAGGCATCAATCAGGGAAATCGGTAGTTCCATATATCCGCGAATTACCGGTCCATACTGGTACATACTACTCGTATTTCATGTATCGTACAAATACCGTACATCTTTTATGAATATCGTCTACTTTTTTATAAAATAAGAAATTGTCGGCCAATGTACGTAACATAATGTATGAAACATAATTAATTAAGCATAGCGGCAAATCGCACGACCACGGGGTTGATTAAAAATATAGTTGCTAAAATATCCATAATGTGTGAAAATAATTTGTCTGTCCTGTTAATCTGATAGATATTACATTGAGTTTATGGACTTTTATACGGATTCAACGGCTTGCTTTACATTCAACCTCGTTTTCTAACACTGTCAAGTAAAACAACAACAAAAACGGACAACATTTTTTATGTGAACGCCTATATGACTTGTGGTAAGGTGTCCCTGACAAATTTCTAAACCATTTTAGATTGTACGAGGATAAGGATGATTATTTCTTTATGAATCAATAAAAAAAGATATTAATATATATTATCATTGAATGCTTTGAATAAATTGTTCGCCAGTAAATCCAACACAGTTCTAATAAACCTGGGACAAAGTATGTAATTTAATGTATACCCCAGTAGAAACTGGATATCTATACCGTGCATAGATGATTTTCATGATAATAGAAGTCAAGAAGGTCAGATCATAATGATCGAGTGATACCTTTTATTTCTATTAAAATATGTGAAGCATTTATATCAATTTGGAGGAAAAAATATATAATATCCCGTTCTTATTTGTACATCTACCCTGGGATATACGCTTGTCGTATGTCCCAGATCTACCATGGCCTTTAAAATACCATCAGAAGCTCAGTTTTTTGTTATTTTAATTTATATTTTAACGGAATTCCATACACGAATACACAGACAGAGTGACACTGGTATAATATAATAATAATGCTGATGATAATAAACTTCAAAAGTGAAACAATAAAATACCCCGCTAGCGGTGCGCAAATACGTTCCATTTTCCCCCACCGAGTGCCTCAAATTTTACCGAAAGTCACGTGACATATTCGACCGATACCAGACGGACAGTAAATCACGTTAAGATTTGAAGAAATTTCTGTTATAAACTGATACAAGAAAAGCATTGATGCAAAGCATCAAAGGGCGTCCAAGCAAGAAATGCAGAAAGTGAAGATGAACTAGTAGACATATGATGACAAGATATTCTTATAAACTTTTCAATGGTTAATTTGTTTTTACCAGAATGAACGGACGAAAGACATTGTTCATTATGAACTTTGATTGGCATGCTAGAGAATAGAATATGACTTGTTATTTCTTTATGATCGTGATTATTAATAGCAACGGATATACATGTATAACAGCATTTATAATCCATATGTGAAACGCATGATCAACACCACACTTGTGGAATTGTCTCTTATTATGCAATCGCTATTAGCGAAGACCCCCTCTTAAGGGATCTGTTCACACTTAATAAAATATGACACTGGTAATATTACCATGTTGATCATGCTGAGCATAATTGTTTATTATACAATAATTGTAATATCTATTTTAATATAATACATACAGATTTAATGAATATTGTTTTCCTCCCTTTTTTGTGTTTTATGTGCTATTTTAATACTGAGTTTTTACGTTTACTACTCTTTTTTTATCAAAATTGTAAAATGTTTTAAGAATTCAATTGTCATATTGACCGACGATTATAAGTCAAAACTTAACTGGAAAAAGTCAGTAAATTATGCTTAATCTTTCAATAAATTAAATAAAATATTTCAAAGTTGATAGTGTCATATTAATACCATAAAATGTACATTTTTCTCAATTATTGCACATATTTATTGTTTTTATCTCATATAGATAAAATGAAACATGCTATTGTTGTTGTTGTTTTTTTTTCGAATTGTATGTTTATGTGTAATAATAATCAATAAATTTGAGAGTTGAGTGACAAACATTCATTTTGGAAAAAAGCTTATTTATCTGTAAAATATTTGTTCTGTTCTGTAACGATAGCAAACATCTACTCCAAAACCTGGAGAGACCGGACAATAAACGTGTGATACTATTCGCCGGTCACTAGTAAATCCCGGTCAAAATAGACCGGGAGAAACCGGGAACTACCGATAGGAGTACATCCCTCTATAAATAGATTTTCGGAATGTTTAGGTCATCAACTCATCATACCATAATAACCCGCTTTGTACTACAAAATGATAAATAAAAAAAACGAAGAGACGGAGAAGGTTATTTCATGTATTGCGAAATTCTCCTTGTAAATATCGAGACATTTTTTTAATCAAGCACCCTCATACCGATCGGAATGATCGGCTTTTATTATGACCGACTAAAAGGCTCGAGAAGTTGCTGTCGCCCATTCACAAAATCTGATTTCATTCCATAAGGGCGCCGCGCATCGGCGCGGACGCCAATTAATCAGCAACTTTTTAATTGGTCAGATGTCACTGGGTCATAAAATGTTGTTAGAGTATGTACCGCAACCTGTGACCCTCTCTGGTGCGATATTTGTGTATTATGCAATTATTTAGCATGATACGTAGGGGTCCGAGAGAGAACAGCCGATTTATGACACTTCGTTTGATGCGGATCGGACTAACTTTGAATTGGCATAACTTTTTTAATAATCAAGCAATTAACATGCGGTTTAAAGCACATGAAAGGGAATTCATTTACGGAGGGAACCGTGTCAGGGATTTTTGTTTGTTCAATCAGCGACTTAATTATCTTTAATTACGTAATATGTATGGTGAAAAAAGTCGCATAAATTGTTTGACGTTACGTAATATTTTTTTGAGAAAAGATAGAAAAAATTTGAGTCACGGTTCCCCAGATATTATAAGTATGTTTATTTTCCAAAAAGTTGATTACAAAAAAATAAAAAATGACTTTGATATGATGATTTAAAAATTTAGGATTTTTATTAAAAATCAATCATTTACAAAGGCATTTTTTTCAAATATGTTATTTTTTTATGATGATCAGCGACATTTAATGCACAAAGATTAAATAAATAACAATTATTACTAAAATAAGTTGGTTTAAATGACATTTATGTGAGTACCACGGAAAGTGTCTGTTGTCACCTTAATGTAATATATGTGTCTTGAAATACATGTAAAGTCATTATTTTTTCTACTAATACTTGCTTTTGTATGCTGTATAACAATTTGTAAATCTTTTGTTGTTTAAGAAAAACACTGTTTGTTACTGAACATATTTAATATAGGCTCATAGGGAAGACTGGGCTTGACTAAATGTAATGTGTCATTATTTTCTCTTCTACTTCCACTATTATTATCATTATTATGTTCATTATTATTATTATTATTATTTTCATTATTATTATTATTATTATTATTATTATTATTGTTATATCTACTAAAGTTCTAGTATGTTATATGAAATGGTCATAGAAAAGGTCACGCTTGGTGATTAAAGGTCAACATTTTGTCTGTTGGAGGGAATATTTTGTGTCTCGTCCAAAATTTTTTTCATCGTCCAAGGGATTTTAAAATGCTAGGTACAGATGTTCACAATAAAGAGACGGTAAGTTATTGATAAGACACAACACATGGATCCCAACCTTCAAGGTCAAGGTCACACTTTGGGGTCAAACCTAAACACGGTCTGTTATAGAATATATTTTGTGTCCAGTTCATAACTTGTTCATCAGTCAAGGGATTTTGTAAAAACTTAGCACAAATAAATATTTACAATAATAAGATGATGTGTCATGCATAACACCTGGACCCTTACCTCAAAGGTCAAGGTCACATTTTGCAGGGTATGATGCCAAGTAAGCGTCAAGCAAACAAAATGTCATTGGTGAATCGCCCACATACCTTGATTGATGAAAAAATTACAGACAAGAAATATACCCTGTTTACCATACAAACAACATTTATTTAACATGCTCAAAAGGGTGAGATTGACGTTACAAACAACATTTTATTATATTTGTAGCATGTTCAGGAGGGTGAGATTGTAGAGGGAGGAGTTATACAGCAGATACAACAAGTGGAACATATTAAGGATTCTAGAAGTGGAAATATTTTGATCATTAACGATGGTGTAGAACAGACATAAAGTACATTGGCAAACATGGCGAGTGAAGCTTCAGTGGTTAAATTAGATTAGAATTCTATCAATTAATATGGTTATTTTTTGACAAGTTTTAGCTGGTTATTTGTTAGAAAACATGTTGATATTTTTTATTGAATAATAAATCTTATATCATTTACTTTAAAAGAAGAGAACAAACATAAAGAGATTGCCTACACATCCATTGGTAGAGAAAATTCATGTTTTTGTGGCGCCTTGAAAAAGTCGACATATAGGGTTACTTTTGTTGGTGGCAGTGTCGCGGCGTTCCCATAGTCTTGCTTCTTACATGCTTCGTCCAATGACCTGAAGAGCAGTGCATAAGAATCGGTACTTTGCACTTCTTATTTTTTGGGATATTGCCCTTTGATAATTTTCATACTTTATAATTGTCCGGGACATTTCAAATTCTCCTAAAGTATAAATAGCTATGGACATGAAACTTCATAGGATAATAGATCTCATTTAGAAGAAGTGCAGTGCTTTAAAGCCAGTACTCTGTACTTCATGATTTTCGAGTTATTGCCATTTGTTGATTTTAATACTTTATTTTTGTCCAGGCCAATTCTCCTACACTTTAAAAGCTATTGACTTGAAACTTCATAGGATGATGGATTTCATTGAGAAGAAAGCAGTGCACAAGAACTTATACTCTGCACTTAATGATGTTTGAGTTATTGCCCATTCATTTTCTTACTTAATACGCTTGGCTATAGCATAACTAAGTCTCTAAAAGTTTGACTCCAATTTTGGTATGTAATCTTTGTTCATTGACCTGAAGTGCAGTGCTAAAAAGTCCATCAGAGTCCTCCATTTAATTTGTCAGTGTAAAACTTTTCCAAGTTTTTTTATTTTTGATAATAAAACAGTTTTATTAATCCTGATTTAACATCCTTACAATCAGTTCAAATGCCGCTAATGTTAAATGTTATAAATAACCTCTATTTAAGAAGAAAATGCCTAACTGACAGCTAAACTGTTGACAAGGCAACACGTCCGACTCGCAGAGTTCTAGTTTCTATGAAAATATGATTTATTTTCATCGAGAGATATGAAAATAAAATTAATATTTTATAAGTGATGTTGTGTACTGCCTGAATGAAGAAGAAAGAAGTCTGGGATTAAACGCATTTTATTTCATCAATATTTCATTTAAAAGTATTATAATAAAACCTGTTATCCTTACTTAATCAATCATTTGTGAAAAAATAAGCCTATTGTTATGTAAATTGACAATGTAAATGTTAAAATCATACTATGTTTGTTGATTATAATTCATAACAGTATAAAATATGGTGTATTTATTTCAAATGTATATTTGATTTTGTGATTACATAAATTTAAACTGATTAAATTCTTTGGGTACATGCATATATATTTTGTGCTAAGATCAAATAAATGTTAGACTGATAGTCATCTCATAGCATTGTGAGTGTTTATTTTACCTGACAAATTAATTTGTTTATCCTTACTATTGAATGAAAATAAAACATGATAAAATTACGTTTTAATTTCTTATATTTTTATCACCAATTATTGTATAAAAACACCCACTTCTAAAAGGTTGGTACATGTACATTTCGTTAGTAGACATGTGTGTTTCTGCTCAATAACCAAGGCACAGTTATATGACCAAGTATTAGATTTTTTTTATAAAATTATTACCTTTATCAATTTATACAGAAATATTCTTGTTTGATTGTTTATGAGTCTATAAACTTATAGACAAACTCTCTTACCTGTTTTTGGATTCACCAGTACTAAAGGTAAGCAATGTTTACGCCCAAGGGGGAAAGGACACCTATTTTCATAGGTGCCAGTGCTTATAGAAGAAGGGTATTTTCATATATATTTATTTCAGCCTCATGTATATACAAATAATTATGTATAAATCAGCATTTCGTAATACATTATACAGAATATATTGCAGATTAATAAGAGACTTGTCGGCTATAAAAACAATTCACCTAAAAAGCTACACTGAAAATATGTTCATTATATAATTAGAGAAGAAAGTTACAATACACAATTATTGTTTTAAAAGTTGACATTTTACAAGTACGTTGGCACATTTTTCTATTCATCACAAAGATATCCCTTAGTCGTTAAAAATATACATTTTCTCTATTATATTTATGTTAAATTGTCTACACGATTTGTGTCTTTATAATTATATTGATATATTAAGCAAGTTCAACAATATAGAAATCATTACATTTTTTGCCGGACTGATATTTCTTAGATACACAATGTATATGATTCATTATAAACTGATATACACTATTGTTTCATCATACTCCATTAGCTAATATGATATAAACATGAATTTCCTGCAGTAAAGAGTATTGCTAAATTCTTTCTATTTTCTTTGTTTAATGAGAGAAATTCAAAACAACTAATTTTTCCGATGAAAGGGACGAAACTAATACACAGGTTTTCTTTGTGTCATAGCACATAGCCAATGGCTTCTTAAGACCACCTTGATTATAAACTAATTCGCCCAGACATTTACCATCTCTATCAAACATTATGATGTTGTGTGAACTAAAACCAGAAATAAACACAGTCCCCTCATCGGCTACACATACACCACGTGTGGTGGCAAGCCTTTTATCTCTCAGTTCTCTCTTCACAGTACCATCTCTGTTCAGACAGACGGCACCATCACTAAAATCTGTTACAAAAACAGTATCTCCACTGACAACATTTTGTTGTGTATTTGATTTACATATGCGTTGGCCATTAACCTCAATACTGATAGTCTTTATTAATGTACCAGTCATACTGTATACATTTACACCATTTACATAAGATACCCACAACTCTCCATCACAATATGTCATTCCGTTGTAACCTCCACCTGTAACAGATATATCTCTCACCTTAGATAACGAGTTTCCTACTGATATAAACCAAACTTTGTTGTCGACAAGTTTCACAGCGACCTCAGTATTACCAGTACAACAGATACCTCTAGGATATGATTCTAGATCCAAACAATCTTTAATGTTATAATTCACATCAAGCCTCTTTATCCTGTCATTATAATAGTCAGCCAGTATGATTGTACCGTCTGCAAGCTGACATATATCATTAATGTAGCATTCATGACGGTCATTTGTCATCTTCATATTAATCTCCTTCCGTGAACTTACTTTATATATTTTTGATGTTAATAGACTGTTCTTCTCTATTACTCTCTGTACACGCCCTAGACATATTAATGTTGCGATAGAAGACTTTAATTCTGTATTCTCTGTAAAACGTAAACACACACGACCTTTATCCTCGCTTTGTTCAATCACTTTCATTGCATCGTTTACAGTTTGTTGTATCAGTTTTGTCTGAACAAATTGTTCTCTTATATTAAGATTATGGACTGTCTGTAGCTGGCTAGTTGTTTTCTCAATTTGTTGTTTAAGTTTACTTATTTGAGAGATATTTGTTCTCAGATCCTCTTTAACCAAAGAATATTCTGTCTCCAGAGCTTCCAATGCTTCATGCTTCAACTTCTGAATATGTTCTACCAAGTCCCTTTCAATTGCCTCTACCTGTGAAATTACGTCACTTCTTTGCTTCTCAACGTTATCGGTGTTTGTCTGCATCTTCCGTTCAGTTTCCTCTAAACGCGCCTGAATGTTTCCCATATTGGAAGTTTTTCGCTCAAATTCATTTTGCTGGTTGGAAGAAATAGTAACTTCTTCTAAATCTGATACTCCTCTGCAAGATCTGAAGAAAAATATATTAATAATAAGGCTATGTCTTAGAAATCAAATTTTCTCTACACTGTTTTACACAATAAAATATAAAAACATGATATACATGTACAGTTGAAAATCATGTTCATATCATCAAGTTTAATGAAATGAGAAAATACACTTAGCATTACAATGACCTTGTTAAGTTAAATTGATGCCATTTGTACAAATAATAATAACCATAGCTGTCGGAGGACACAGTCACGCTTGACTAATGAAATACTGGACGCAGTAAAGGAAGACGAAACTATCAAAATAATCAATTGTGATATAAAAATATTTCTGCATCAGTATCAAGATTGCACTCAAATGTTCAATATCTTTGCACCACATAATATGCACGTGACCATGTCAATAAAAGTTAAACAGACATCCTTGAAGCAATAAAGAAGTTTTACGGGAAGGCTATTTGGAAAATATTAACGCTTCAGTTATGAACCTTGCCACATAATCATTATATGGGTGTGGATATGAAACTTAATTTTAAAGTTTAAAGTAAATCTTTTTAAAAAATAGTGTAAGAGCAAAAAAAAAACACATTTTTTATAAAAAAAAAGTTCCAAGCTCAAGGGGAGAATATTTCTTGATATATTCATGCTACAGTTACAACACTTGTCACATGTGATGTTGGAGACTATTAGTAACAAATATTGAAGATCCCATAAGAAATGAAGAAGTTATAGTAGATTATAACGCTTTTGAACAGAATTTCTAGGTTTCTAGGTGTCAGGAGAAATGTCTGCCTTGATGTTATTTAATCTAAGAAAAGATTTAGTAATAAATACTAGAACCAATTTCCAAGATATGGAGGCTTGGCAGCACCGCCTGACATAAAAGTGAAATATTCTCAGTTGGAAAACTAGCATGTAATTGTTTAGTTAACACTATCTTTTTTTTTTAGGTATTTTTATCCTTTTCTATCTCAAATCAATATATACATGTAAACAACAAACTCTGATTATTATTTACACCCAAAACAAAGAACTCTGATCATTATTTACACCCAAAACAAACACACATCATTTATCAGCCACTTATATGAAATATCTTTTCACGTATACGTCTTTTATACGAAACAAGACACCTGGCGAGCCCAAGCTCTAAACAACTTATGATCAAACAACAATAAAATCACCACAAAATGAAGAACACAAAAAATGAATATTTTTACAACTCTAAGATACGGTATAAACCACAAACATTCATCCAACAATATTAACTTCACACAATCTAATCAGCATCAGAAAACAACTTAAACTAAAGCACCCAATATTTACATATATCCTCAAAACAAAGCATCAACTAATATAATCTTGATCAGACAAACATTCAACCAATATCAATCAATTATATCTTCACAAACAGATATAACTCAACAACAAAAACAACTAATTTCAACCAATAAACCCTGATCAATTAAGATCACCACAATTATATTCAACCACTTCAACAAACCAACAAAACTGACTTCAAAACAACAAAATTCTCTTCCCAATAAAAAAATAACCCCTCACACTATAAGCGTGTGTCTCCTAACTGATGTAAAATCTCTCTCTAAACGCGCATATTTGCTAGCTGAAACGATTTGACATTTAAACATGTATACATATTTTATACTCCCAGCAACAGGTTTATAAATGAAACTGTACATTGAAATATGATACACTTCAGTGTATCGCTGACTCGTTGTAAAAAAAAACTATCTACAGTGAAACTGTGATTATTCTGACACTAGGTTCAAAAGAGAATAATTTAAAAAGACTGTGTTCTTGAGTTATGGATCTTGCCATATATCATGCTGCTGATGATAAAGAACATAAATATGAAGTTTGAAGTTAATACCTTAATAAATTTAGAAATTATAGTAAAGATACAATTTCCTAAGGAAAAAGTCTAACTTTATGGGGAGATAATTTTGAAAATATTTGTGCTAGAGTTAAATACATTGTCACATATGAAGTGGTTGATAATAAGAAACATAATTTACATGAGTGATGATGTTTGAAGTTGACATCTTCATAAATAAATATGTTATAGAACTTTATTTTAGTTCAAGGGGAGATACTTCTGAAAAAAAATTGTGCTAGAGTTAAATAGATTGTCACATATGAAGGGGTTGATAATAAAAAAAACAAGTTACATGAATGATGATGATTGAAGTTGATACCTTAATAAAAAAAATATGTTATAGAACATCTTTTTGTTAAAGGGAAGATAATTCTGAAAATATTGCTTCTAGAGCTATGACACTTGACTCATCACATATGGGTGATGATAAGGAACACATCTATGTATTTGAACTTTGAAGTTGATACCTTAAAAAATAAAAAAAAAACAAAGCTTTAATCGGAAATCTGGACGCGAACGCTGACGCCGGGATGAGGATTGCTCTCCATATTCTTCGTATAGTCGACCTAAAAATAGGCTTTAATGATATACTTCCGATTTCAAAACCATTTTTTTCTCTATTTACGGTTCATTTAAAATACAATATCTTTCTACTTATTTTCTTTTTCTGATATAACTAAGTAGCTTTACTTTTCCTTATTTTATTTAAAATCCTGATTTCCTTCATGAAAGTAAACCCTAAATTCGACTGATTATTGCTTCATTCCCGATTGATGTTTTGAAAGAGAATCTTGTTTGACCTCCTATAGTTAGAAAATATGAGAAATACTATTTATAATGAAGAGAAAGGTAAAAGATACTGGATATTTTACAGAATGAAAGAAGGATAATTATAAATACCTGTGATCTTTGGCAATACATTTCGCGCAAAACACCATGTCATGTTCCCCACAGTACATTTCAATGTCTCGATCTGGATGGTAGCGACACTTGGAAACCATGGTTACCTTTGACCCTTTTGTTGAAGCATCACAATCTTGTAACGTATGTGACCGTGTAGCTTTCCGCCGACCATGCTGTCGTGTACATGATGTACACAGATATTCGTCACATACGGGGCAATACTTTACAGCATCTTCTCGGATATCATCATCCCCACACGGAGTGCAAGTGTACTCAAAATCAGCATCCGAGCCATCTTTAATTAAAGTCAAATCACCTTCCTCAGCCATTTTTCATCGTCGCTCTGATTTCTGAATATCAAAGGGATTAAAAATAATCTGAAATATGAGAATAATGATCAATAAGGGGAGCAACGGTCACAGTACACAGTCCCCACAATAATCAAAAGAAAAAGGCACAAAAGGGGATACAAAAACGGACAAGGGCAGAAAAGTGTTTCATATAAAGTAATACAAGAGCTCGTGGTTTTACCTCGGCATTAAATTTTCTTGAGGAGCTTCTATTGGATATTGCAGTGCTTTGCCTTATACAATATGCTTATAAAAATATTTCATGCATTTATAAAGGTTTATCATTAAATAATTACTGAATGTTCGTGTTTGTATGGCTTTTTTTACATAATATACTGTAATTCAACTTATGTGGTTCAGAAGGAAATTCAGCTACCTTACGCTTAATCTACTCATATAATCGCTTGTGCCAGTGTCAAAAAGACCCTTGGTCATTTCTTAACATAGTTAAATTTTACGGAATTGCCCAAATTTAAACGGATAACTTAGATGTTATCTAGAAAGGACTATGCAGTGAAATTGAACATTTCAAGCATGTTTTCATATTAAATGTATCCGAAATATTTGTTCTACACTTGGACTGTTTTAAGCAAATTTATTTGAAACTCAAAGTAAATCTGAAATGCCTTCCCTGCCAACTATGTTAAATCATTCGTTATAAAGATATTTGACGGGTTATATGGTCCTATATAAACGGTTGTTTGTTAATGTAGCCCAGGGTTATATTGCAAACAACCATTTATATACGGCCATATAACCTGTCAGAAATATTTATAATGACTTTATAATAAAGTAAGCATCATTTTTAGACGAATAAAGCGAGATTTTTTTATAAATCGACAGCAGCCATGTATTTAAAACTATATAAACGTCACGATTATCCAATGAAAAGCGACGTTACAAACGTGCAGTATTATAATATTATTTATAATACTGCACGTTTGAAACGCCTTTTCAATGGATAATCGTGACTTTAATATAATTTTATATACACGGCTGCAGTCAAACGAAAATCCCATTTGTTCCGGAAAACAAGAAATTTGTTGTGTTATAAATTTATTTTCAAGATTCCTGACAGGTTATATGGCCGTATATAAACGGTTGTTGTAATATTTGTCTAGTGGCTCGGGTTACTTTCGAAACAACCGTTTATATAGGTCAAAAACTTTTATAACTAAAAAAATACGCTACACAATACCTGCGATTTGTTAGACTGAAAGGAATGGTCTGCACGTCTAAGAAAACAACAACACACACATAAAATAACGACACATAAATGACTGATATTTCAATGTAAGACATTTGGCGCGTTTGTTAAATATACCACGGAATCAGGTACATTTGCTCTGACATATGATACTTTGAACTGTATCTTGCCTGTTATGAATCTGGCAGATCCGTTTTTTTCTATATTTTAGATTTTGTTTCTGGCTTGTGTTAAAACCTTTTGAATAAATTTGACAAAAGGTAGATCCAGGATTTCATGCGAATTTTGAATGTTTATAAATCAATGGTGTATAGTGAGTTCATGGCCTTTTTTTTTGTTATATCTCATTTAATCAGCCAGGGGTAGAATGCACAATCAGGCAGGATTGTGTGATGGGGCTAATTTGACTGCGTCCCGCACTCAACCTCACGCTTTCAGCCCCCTGGGTGCCTTTTTGTCCACCCCTTCCCCCTAGTGATTACAGAAGAAGACAGTTTACTACTAGCGAACGATGATATAACATAAAAATGTACAATGTACATAAATATGTAATGTAATATATATCTATACTGTATAGCAAAGATAAGAAGTTTTAATAGAACGTAGCGCACTTGAAGTTTTACAAAGTCAACAAAAATATCTTCATATACATGTATTTAATCA